GGGTCCTTAAACAGCGTAGAAAGTAACTAGACAGAGAACGTCACATCTACCGTGATATCGTGGTAATAGTGCGTGGCTCAGAGAAATTCTTTGACAGGTCTGTTGTGGTAGAGGAAATGCCCCTCCCTGCACCCCCGACACACCCAGGGCTTGGATAAATAACACTGTCTGGTCACTAAGCTGCCATCTGGGGAGAGCGCGTCAGGTTAACTGGAGAGCCTCTGCCTTGTCCGGAGGCGAAACGCCCACCTCTGTGCTGAGCAGCTCTTGAAATAAATGAACAGGTGTTACAGAGTATTAGCTGCAAAGGGCCTGTATTATTAGCCTGTCTTGTAATGAATTTAATTTTAGATAACATTTACAAATGAGGTGGTTGTGTCGCATCTAAAGTGCTTCTAGTTCCAGGAACCTGAATCAAGAAAATATGATTTTATACCTCTTTGACATTTAAGTTTGGGTTTTCATGGAAATGGCATTCGTATGTATATATTTTTAATTTCTAGAAAATAAATTTCTTTTCCCCTGTGACTTGTATATTCCTGTTTCTCATGGAATAATTAGCAACATTTACAGGTAGACTCAGCCAGCTAGCCTTATCAGTCAGTGTGCTGTGCTGCGTGGCAGTGATGTAGATGGGAAAAACGGTCCCCCGGACTTCAGAACGCTCACAGCCCAGTGAAGAGACAGACAAGTAAAGCCCACTGTGCAGTGAGCAGAGAGGAATAGTGGTCAGCTGGCCGGATGCCCTGGGAGGCCAGAGAAGGGACGCTAGCAAAGCCTCTGGTGACGCCGAGCTGTTCGGGAAGAGAGAGGTGGGGATGCAGTGCCGAGTGGCCGGGAGACTGTGACCAGCTCATGCCTGTGATTGGTCTGCAGTTTAGGAATTATAAAGAACCGAGGCTAGGAAGACAGGCTTTAGAATCCCGAATGTGAATGACTTTATGGTCCATGCCAAGGAATTGTTTTTTCTCCTGAAGACTATGGGGAGCCACTCAGGGATTGTGAGCAGAGAAGGACATGACCAGCTTTGCCCTTTGGACGACCACTCTGGCAGCAGGTACAGGATAGATGTGTGAGGGGCAGTCACCGTGGAGGCGGGGAAGAGGTTAGAAGGGTGTGTA